CTGCAGACAGTGTGTGGTGAGCCAATGTTTATCAGAAAACTGAGTGGCGGATCTTACTGCAATGTAAGTATGTTTATTGGTAGTTGAACCAATTTTTTTTAAAAAATATTATTTCAATGGAGAAATTAACATGATTAAGAAAGTATCTAAAATAATTTTGAACAGCCAAATTGTGCCTTTGATAACTTTGAAAGTGTTTGTAAATCTTACCTCTTTATGATTCAGACAAAAAGTCTGTGTGGAGAATGGTTCATGGAGATCTTGAATTTTCTGCTGTTTTACAGTTTATCCATTCACATTTACACATGAATGATGATTTTGAAATTGTAAAATTATATTCACAGATATTTCAGCAAGATATATAGGGCCTATAAATTTCAAAATTGTATGATGTGTGAATGTGTGTATTAATAAGTCCAAGTTTTTTGCTAACAATTAAACCTGGCATCTGCAGGATAGGTTCTGTAAGAGTATACGTGAAATTAAGGGAGGTTAATTCCATATATCAAAAAATAAAAATGGTTTGTAGACACTGACAATTTTTTAAAGATTTACTATTAGATGTAAATTTTAATATAGAGAATCATTTACTAGGTACATCATGTACATTGTACGTGCATAAATGTAATTACAGTGTATCTTTCTTTTGAAACAGGTTTCTTAGAATTGAAGCTTGAAGAATATTATTGAGCAGATATACCAAAAAAATTAAGATGACACAACACAAGGTTTACATGAACCAAATTCACTGCAGTTCCCTGCTGTGTGAGTTGGCCCAGATGTGGAAGAACCAAGCCCTGTGTGATGCCATTATTAAAGCAGGATCCATCACAGCTAAGGTACACACATGTTTTGTCTTAGACTAGAGGGGCTGGTCTCTTGTTATCAGGACTGGCCTGGCTAATTCTCAACAGATGTTAGGACTGTGTAGCTCTGCTTAGATAGCCACATGTGTGCTATTTTTGTGATACTGACTAAAAAAATGAGATGCATGTTAAGTGTTTTCACAACTGATAAAACTTTCTATGGTGATGCCTCATAGATAATTTTATAGTATTGATTTGGATTGATGGTCATTATATACCATTTAAATGTATAAATAAACTTTGATTTCATCTAAAACATGATTTATTTTGATGACAGCTGGAATTTTTTAAGTCTTTGTTTTAAGATTTATCATTCATGTTTATCATGATATAAATTTGAAATTTTGAATGTACTAAAATTTGTATATTGTCTATATTATTCTTGTCAATGATAATTAACAAATAACATACATGTATTTTTATTTTTTAATTTCTTGTATAAAAATTCATAAACTCCAGGAATGAAATTTTGTAATTTGAAACAAGAAAAATTCAAATGTGAATAAAGATATAAGGGGAAATCTAATTTTACCTTTTTTTAATTAAATGCACTTTTCATTATTTTAATCATTGAAATGTTGCTGGGGGTATGAAATAACTTAAGCTGTTGAGTTTATAAAAAAAATAATCCTGAGGGAATATCTTGGAAAGTTACATGTAGCTCAAGATAGAAAACAAGTTCAAGAGTAATGAACTTCCAAAAAATTAAAAAATCAATAGTTATATCATTATTTTATTTAAATTCAAATTTTTCTATTCAAAATACATCAGGAAAAAAAATCAATGAAAGGTTTTTCTGACATGGGAAAGTGGGTTCATCATGTTCATAATGCTCACATTAACAGTAATTATTTGTGTGACTTTACAATGAACTTGAACATAAAAGGAAAATCATTTTAAGTGTACACAGAAATGATGGATTTTTATAAACATGTTAGTATCATTAATTTTTAAGTCACCTGAGTGACTCAGGTGGAAAAAGTACATAAGTTTCAAAATACAGTGTGAAGAAAATAGTTAAATGAGAATGAAAGTTAAGGTTGGAATTCACAGTGAAATGGATTGCTCATGTTGGATTGGACAGTTTTTCACTGTATCATGCAGTATTGATAACTAAATATAATATAATTTCAATTAATGACATTCTATTCATTAACCTATATTTGACCTTTACAGGCCCATCGTTTGGTTCTTGTGGCAGCTTGTCCTATGCTTAAGTCCATGGAGAGTGCGTCAGTTGGATCTCATCTGGAAATAAGGCTTGCTTCTGACATAAAAGAGGAATCCATCACCACATTTCTACAGTATTTATATGAGGGATGCATGGTTTTGACTGAAGATAACTATAAAGACATTGAAAAAATTGGACGAATTCTTCAAGTGGACAGTGTCATTAAATGCTGCTCCGATTTTTACAAATGTCTGAATTCGTCCTCTCAGTACAAGTATGACTATTATGATCATGTTGAATTCAAGCATGTTAGACAGACTGATATGTTGAAATTTAGTGAGAAATCCAACAAGAGATCAATAGACTCTAAAATCACAAGTCAGGGCGGGAAACGACAGAAAATACTCAACTCTGACTCCCCATCCTTTGGTGCTAACCCCAAAACTGATGATCTGTCAGGTCCTTCAAATTTTAACAGTCCCAAAGATCACAACCGTCCATATAAAATCGGCCCTGCTAGCGTGTCCAGAAGGCCTAATGGTGGTGTGGACGTGGTGGAAGACGGCGTGCAGATCCACCATGTGGATAAGAATGCTTCTCCTGGGTCGTCACAAGTGGTGGACACGTCATCGGCTATGTCTGTCTCAATAGCCAGTCAGATAACGCCAGATATAAATGTCCAAGTGGTTAATATGGGTAACACACACCGTACCTCATCTCCTTCTTTGATCTCAAGGATCCCTAACAAACCTCCCCTCTCAGGGCCGTTTCCCACCGAAACAGTGGACAACCGGTCAGACTCTCCCATCTTCATAGCAGGAGTGGGGGTCAGGGGTTATGGAGCCACCATGGTACCACCATCAAAGTCCTTTGCCATAGGAAGCCCCACCATGGTGCCTGTTGGTCCTGCACAGTTTCCAACTTTTGTGAAAGACACCATATCAACCTCTAATGCTGAAGAGGAAGTGGGGTTGGTGAACATTTCCATATCCTTAGATATTTTAGCCATCTATTAAACCATCATCAATATCTTAATAAAAAATAAGCACCAGCTTTGAACAGTTGCACCATATTCATAGATTGCTTTAAAATTTAGTGTCATTTGTATTTTAAAATTTAGATAAAACTTGAAAAAAGTTTTAACTCTTTAAAAAAGTGGTGAGCAATTGATATTCTTTTCAAAATAACATATACATCTTTAAATTGTTTGTTTACAATTGCAGAATGAAGAGTCGGTCAGAAACTCAATCAAGTCTAACTACCAGTCCAGACCCCTCCATCGTGAAGAAAGAGCCGGGAGTCAGCACGCCGTACGTGGAGGTCCAGGATCAGGGGATGGTCATGGTCCGTCGCCCGGACACGGACAGTGAGCAGCAGGAGGAAGTGTCTAGTGACCTAGAGATAGAGGAACCTCCCCCCGATGACAGCTTCACAGGTGACCCTGGGAGTGAGGCCTCATGGATTGGGGGTCAGGCTGGTGAGTTTAACGCTTCTAAAGCTTATTTCTGTAAAATATGACTCTGTATAACAAGACAGAGAAAGAGATCCACACGGAGAGAATAGGAAAGGGAAATGCTTTTTGTAATAATGTGAAAAGCAGGGACCAACTTAGACCCTGAATTTCAGGAGATGTCACATCTCCCTCACATTTACCAGTGCAGGGAGTAGGGGAAAATTTTATAAATCAGGGAGATCTAAAACACTTAATACAACTGTATTTTCAAAATGGGAATCATGATTACATGGTTGAGTCAAGGATCTTGATATGCATTAATGCTGTAAATTAACCTCCACTTTTGTTTGTTGCTATTTGTAAAGAATTGTCAGAGACTCTCTTGATCTCTTTTTCTCTGAATATTTATCTTTTTTCTTTTACATTTATTTGTATACCTGTTTATGTATGTTTCAAATGATAATTTATATTTTACCAACATGTAACAGCATGGGCATGTATGTTTTTCTTCATTTCAATAAGGGGTATTTCAAAAGTTTGAAAATGGTGCAGAGAGTGATTGATTGATCTGCACAATGCGATATAAATCTTATATTAATTTATTCTTGAATTTTTTTTAATTTATCCCCCAAAAATTACCTTATAATTTTTTATTTCCAGTTTAAAAGATAGCTATACATCATCTTCGCTAGCCAAGGGTTTCTGGTACGCTACTCTCCTCATGAACCCTTGGCATACGGTGTTGATAAAAGTTGGGTTTTTTTTCTCGAGTTCTGATTGGGATTCGACACACCCGGCCGAGCAATCAGCAATTGTTTTTTTTAAATGACGATATTTGTGTTCGGGACACTTCTTGACTCTTTAATCTCGGGAATGAAAAACGCAAGTAAACAACAGTCGTAAGATAACATGCAATTCTATGAATAGCTATGGTGTCATCCAATATCTTCTAAATACGTGATTAAGAATCTATATTGAAGTTCAGATTTTTACCATAGATAATAAATAAACATAACTCAATTATTGCTTCTTAATTATTCTTGAAAAAAAAATTGATTTAATTTTTTTTAAACACATGTCTTTATTTCTGTCGATGACACAATCTGTGTGCTGTACATGATAGATTCGAGATCACGTGACGAAAAATCCCGTCTTTTGACTTCTTGTATGACAAGGGTTCATGAGGAGAGTAGCGTATCAGAAACCCTTGGCTGGTGAAGATGGCTATACATTGATTTTTTTGGTTTTTGTTTGAAATTTGCTCTATATAGATTCTAATGACCCATTAATCATTGGAGGCTGCTATCTCTTTTCTTGAATTGCTTAAAATAAAATTTTGATTCATCAAATATGAGTATTTATTCATGATTGGATTTTTAAAAATCTTGCTTTCATATTCCGTAATTGACATTATTAGATGTAGAAAATAGTGAGTACAGTTTTGTGAAAGCTATCTAGCAAGGTTTAGGGCATTTGATTGACTGGTAATAATTGACAAACAGTAGAAGAAAATAAATTTACCTTGAGCTTGAATTCTTGAAGAAAATAAATTTTGATATTAATAAACATGTACATGACTATGTTAAAACATACTCTGAGATTAAAAAATGTGGTTTGAACAGGTTGTGTTATGCATGTTTAAATGTTGACTGTTATTAAGGCCATTCCAAGTTTTTTCTATGTTTAGCGTCCACGTGCGCCTTGGTTTTTGACACCCCATATAAGAAAAAACACACAACATCAGGAGTCCTGAAATTGATTAATTTAGTCGAAATTTTTGAATTTTTGTAAATTTCTCCAAATAATTCTGTACACTAAGGTATATTGGGTGTATTTTAAGCATTTAATCCCTTGTTTTTGCTTAAGAATAGATATCTCTTCCATTAAAGCAGTTTAGTTAGATCAAATCATTTTAAGGGCGTCATTTTTATGACTTTTAGGCCTGTGTTTTATGTTTTGGCTTGTGTGTTTTTTTGCGAATAGGTAGGTAGGTTTTTCAAAGATGGGTGGACGCTAAACAGAGAAAAAACTTGGAATGGCCTAACTGATAAACCCTGAATGAAATTGTTATAGGTCTCTATATTCAGAACACAGCGTATTAAATTTTTGGTAATCAATATTAGTGAAACATTTTATGGGATGAAAAAGTGCTCTCTGAGTGTATGAATTGGTGCATTGGGAAACGTTTTTGAGCATAAATTAAGTATTATTGTGTACAAGCATGTCATTGAGTTACAAATGCTTCACTTCTGAAGTTATACATGTGAGAAATGGTGCATTAAGCAGCTGGATGTGACTGAGTATTGGATTGGACATGTGCCACAGAGAGGCTGATTTTTCAGTGCATGAAAATATACCAGCAGCATTCTGATGTGTGTGTCTCAAAGAGTACTAACTCCGCATGAACTGAATTCTCTCCCTTTATCACTTGAACAAAATCAGGCAAGTCTATATATTAATATATACCCTGTATCTCATTCTGTCTTTCATAACTCTTCAGAATTCTTACAATTCATCTTGTTCTTAAACATACCTTTATAAATGAATACAAGTCATAATTATTTCTGAGTTCAATATCAGATATTTAAAAAAAAAAAAAAAAATCTCCTGATCCAGTATTCAGATTTATCTTCATATTTCAAAAGTTCTTCAACAAGAGATATATCGTGTTATGTAAAATATTTATTGCATTGCTTTCTCAGTAATTCACTGATGCCAATTGTTTGTGAGATTTTATAAGAAATTTTAAATTACAGATGTATAAATATTTTAGTGTCAATGAAAGAGTGTCTTGTTTTCCAGGTGAGAATGAGAACAGTACGGAGAAGGGTTCCTGGCACAGTGTAGAAACTAGAGGTCCCTATGCTGTGAGTGAGGAACAAGGTGAGGTCAAATTTGACCGCAATGAAATGAAATTTGATGGCACAGATCTGAAATTTTATGATGAAGTGCTACCAGGACATAGGCTGATTAGGATTGAAGGTAGTAAGAAAGCATGTGCATACTGTGACATTCAACGCTTGAAAACAAAATCGGGGTGGCAGATCAAGTCATATTTCAAGTGCCTTGCTTGTGATATACCACTATGCAAATCCGACAAGGAGTGCTTTCTAAGATACCATGAGCTGAGGTTAGAGCAACCAAATGTTCCACCCAAGGAGCTTCATAAGAGATTGAAAACGAAGAACAAGCCTCTTCTTCTTCATAATGTGACACCTTCACAGATGAAGTCTTCCAATACGTCTTCCTCCTCAACAAATATATCCATTGAAGAGTCGGTCACAACAGCAGACATCATTAGGGCTCACCTATCCCCCTCAGACTTTTCTGAGCAGAACCCGGCCCCTCCTCTCCTTACTCCCTACCTGTACAACACGTCCAATGTCCCTCCCCTGGATATTGACTCCCCGGAGCACAGCAACAGTGGGACACCAGAGAAACTGGACACACTACCACAGGACAACAAAAAGGAAGAGAAGAAGACACAAAAAACAGGGATCACCAGGAAGTCGAGGAAATCCGTCAAAACAAAGCCAATGAAAATCGTTTTCAACGAGGAAGAAAATGATGCACTTGGGAGCGACGATTCTGATGATTCCAACATGGAGGAGGATTACAGCACCAAAGAGAGAGTATCACTGGACAAGGCAAAGAATGGGGCCGTGTCAGCAGTGGGAGCAAGAAAAGAAAGAGGTCACATTGTTATACAGTAGCAGTAGAGATAGAACATTGATTGGGGTACAAATATCTTTTCATCAGCTCTCAAACAGATCTGTTCACCTTTGTGTTGTTTCATGAGCACAAAATTGAAAAAATTTCAACAGCAAAGCTATGCAAAAAAGATGATCTGTTTATTTCTTTCAATATCTCTTCAGAAAGGTTAGTTTCCTGTGTTGGAACTATTTCAAGGAAAATATAACTTTATAACTGTATAAAGAGAGATAACTCTTTTGCCCTTTGTATTCCAAGAAATAGTTCTTAAATTAATTTCACTTTACTCCCAATAAATATACTCGTGAATTAAAATTTGATACTGCATTATTTTATAAATATGTAGCAAAAATTTGTTAATTTTTAGATTGTTAAATCTTTAATTTTTAGAGAGATTCTTTCAGTTCTGTAAATTAATGTGAATGTTTTATTAAGTGTTACCTAGTATTCAAGTCATAGTCATATATGTTAA